GAGTGTGACAAACTAGGATGACCGTGAAAGGACGAACAACAATCAACTCTTAGAGCTGAAGTGAGAGTGGGGGTCGGGGAGGGGAGGAGGGGGGGGCTGAACGGGTCAGTGGGTTCAAAGGTCAGGGCCCAGGGCTGCAGTTTGACCATGGATGAGAGAAGGAGGATGTGATGTGTTAAATAGGCCATGGAATCCCTGTGGTCTCCTCTTCACACTCACATATACAGTATATACATATATATGTGTATATATAAATATATGTGTATCTATATTTATATATACACATATATATACTGTATATGCATACAGTATATATGTGTATATATAAATATATGTGTATATATATTTATATATACATATGTATACACACAAATATATATACATACATATGCTGTATATACAGTATATACAAATATATACATATATGCAAATATATACAAATATATATACAAATATATATATACAGTGTATATATATACTTATATGCATATGGTAGAGAGTATCCTGATGTAAATCGCCCTACCTTGTATTTCGTGGCTGCCGTGGTCTGTGACCTGTGACTCGACTCACCCTGGAGTTGGTCTGTTCCTCACCCGTCTGTGCTGCTCCCACAGCTGTTTCTGTTGCAGTTGATGACACTGTTTAAACATACACACGTAAATGGATTAAATACACCCCAATATAATCCAGAAATTGTCCACAAATATCTCAAAGTATCTCAACACAAAAATAAAGATCCTAGAATTAAAACCTAGGACTGTCATGTGACCAGAAGAAGGAAACAGACGGCAGAGAGAGAGGCAGAGATTAGGGTGTAAAGGCTGGAGGACCCTCAGTCTCATCATCACGTGACTCTCAGCCGGAGGTCAAAGGTCAGGTCACAGGGCCTTGTAATTACTCTGTCTACTAACCAACCATGTCTCCCAGAACGGGCGCCATTTATGGCATCTCACCCCTGACCTGTGGTTCGCTGTGTCTCCAAAAAAAAATGTGTCGGCGGTGGACGATGTACCGGAAGGTGAACTTTGACCCCCAGCGAAGAGTGGAAGTGAGTGGCCATACATCAGTGGGAGCATTCAGGTTAAAGTGCAGTGTTGGTTTTCTTCTGTCTGTGTGTGTGTGTGTGTGTGTTTGTGTGTGTGTGTGTGTGGAGTTAACAGCCGAGTCCTACATCACATCAGTCCAATACAATCCAACCAAACACAGGAGCCAATCAGAGCAGCCACTGGTTGAGGGCGGGGTCACTGGGCCACATATGGAGACAAACATTCACACCTATTCACTTAGTCAATTTAGAGTGAATTACCACAGTCCTGTAGGTTTTTGGAAAGTGGGAGGGGCGGGGGAGGGGGGGGGGGGGGGGGGTTCTGCTTCTTAAATGACCAGCTAAAGCAGAGGTGTCAAACATATGGCCCGTGGGCCAAAACCGGCTCACTAGAGGGTTCTAGAGAGCAATTTTGAAAGTGAAAAAAGATCACATACACTTCATATTCATTTTTTTGGTCAAATGATATTTCATTAAATATGAATATTTACGAATATATTTGAACTAAAGCAATAAAGTATTATTATAAGCTTTGTGGGCCACAAGTGGCCCCGGGGCCAGGGGTTTGAGAACACTATCATAGAGAAACGCTCATCACCAGTGTAAAACTCAGACCTGTAGTAAACAACTAGGTACTAGAATGATGTAAGCACAGATGTTTGTGCCGTACCTGCTGTTGCTGCTGCTGCTGCTGCTGCTGCTGTTGTTGCTGCTGCTGCTGCTGCTGCTGCTGTCCCTGCTGCTGCTGCTGCTGCTGCTGCTGCTGTTGCTGCTGCTGTACCTGCTGCTGCTGCTGCTGCTGCTGCTGTTGTTGCTGCTGCTGCTGCTGCTGCTGCTGTTGCTGCTGCTGCTGCTGCTGCTGCTGTTGCTGCTGCTGCTGCTGCTGCTGCTGTCCCTGCTGCTGCTGCTGCTGCTGCTGCTGCTGTCCCTGCTGCTGCTGCTGCTGCTGCTGCTGGTTCTGGTCACAGAGTGAAGGTACAGATGTCACCTGGTTCCATCAAACAGACGCTGAACACCTGCTCTGAAACACACACACACAGAGGAACACAGGTGTGTGAACCCACACAGAACAAACTATAAACCAGTGGTCGTCAACTGGTGGCCCGCGGGCCAAATCTGGCCCCTCAGATGATCCAGTTCAGGGCGAGAATGGATTCCAAAATATTCTAAAAATTGGGAAGATTGTGTTCTCAACTATTAGAACAACAAAAACAAAACAATTGATTCCGTTAGACAGAAAATTTGATTTTTAATTTGTTTTGTTTTTTTGAGTGTCTGACCTCCAAGGAGTCTGTCCAGTCCAATTTTTGTGAACTTTTGAGGACAGAAAATTTGATTTTTAATTTGTTTGAACTTTTGAAGTAAAAACGTTGAACACAGGGTTGACCAAAGACTGTAATGACACCATCTTCATCTTCATCTTCATCATGGGCTTTTAGAGAGAACTGTTTGTACCTTTCTGTCTGATGTTGCTGACAGAACAGACGGGCGTGAACCCTGCAGGACTGCTTTTACCTCTGAGGTGAAACCCCGGAGGAGGATCAGGAGCAGGAGGAAAACACGAAAACACCAGCTTCACCTTTGACCTCATTGGCTTCGCTGAGACCTCGGTTCTGTTCTTTCTCTCTCTCTATCATCTGCTGCAGGTTTGTGTTTGTTGGACTCGTCCACCAACACTGACCTACGACTACGAGGTCATATATGACCTGACCTTTCACACTGACTGTCCAACACACAAAAGCTGATCTTCACAAAAGCCACATTTTTTGGACTTTTATGTTATAAAAAAAAATCAACAAAAACAAAATATAAGTCATGAAAGCTGCTGCTGCTGCTGACTCCCCCTCCTCTCCCCCCTCCCTCTCCCCCATTTATACAATAACATCAACATTTTAAATAAACTCTCACTCAGATAAGAAATTATAAAACGTTCAGCGTGAGGCCGAGCTCGGCGTTTGTCAACATCTCGTGAGGTTTTATGCACGAACTCGCCTGTGGTGAACACACTGCTGTGTGAACTCCGTCACACACTCTCAAACCTTTCTTCTCCCCCTGAGATGCACTCAGAGAGAGAGAGAGAGAGAGAGAGAGAGAGAGGGTGAGTGTCAAAGTCACTTCACATGGAAGCACCTGCTATTTAGCAGCCAAAGTAAAAGCTTTTAGCGGCTGCAGTTTAATGTGTTTACTGTCGGAGAGTGTATTTACAGTGTGTGTGTGTGTGTGTGTGTGTGTGTGTGAGTGAGTGTCAAAGAGACAGTTGTCCACCGTGGGGCGCAGATGTTTCTTTTTATATCTATCAGGGGGCGAAGATCAGAGAAAGAACTAAAACATTGAAAACTGTTATATATAATTGAGTGGCTAGGTTTCAGTAGTGAGACCTGTGACCCAAACATGGTACAGAGATATTGTTTTTCACTGTTTTTTTTTTTTTTTTTTGCATTTTTTTAGCTTTGTTTTATCAACTTTTATTTATGAACAGTATTAAGGCTTTTTGTTATTTTTAACAGTTTTTTTTAATTATACGTTTGTGGGTTCAATTCCCGGCTCTGTTGGTCTACATGTCCTGTGGATGATCAGTAATAGCTTTTTTTTAAGCTTTTAGCAATTTTGCTAGCAAACACTTGACTGTTAGCGTTGTTTACATAAGCAGTTCTTTCAAAAGAATTCTGCTTAAACTCATGTTGAACCACTGCCCATTTTTATAAATGAAATTCTAAAAAAAAAAAAAAAAAAAAAAGGTTTTTGGTTTGACACAAAACCCTCGACCTCAGCAGTTACTGACATCACTGACACAGAAGACTATTCAAGATGACTAACACCTTCAGCGTTACCTTTCACCTGGTTTCATTCTTTCACACGGTTTCGCTCGAGGCTGTGACTTATCACCCAGAGAGGCTTAAATGTTTAATTACATTTTCAGTTCAACAGGTCTGTGTCGCACAAATGCAGTTAAAAAAAAAACAATGATGAATTGTTGGACATTTTCACATCACGCTGTAATACCAACCGCTGTGTGATGTGTTCTTGTGACTCCATGTTTTTATGGTTTAATAATTGAACCACAGTTGTAATACCAACCGCTGTGTGATGTGTTTTTATGGTTTAAGAATCGAACCACAGGGGTCGTCGGTCAGTCCATCTGTCACCGACATTTACAGTCCAATATTCTGGACCATTATTACAATTATTTCCTATGAGGTCGTTTTTATTGAGACTATACGACCGTCGGACCGTGTTACTTGTAGAGGAACATCGCCCTCTAGAGGCATATAGCAATAAGTGCACGCGCCGCCTTCGAGATACGTTTGTCAGGATCTGACAAAAAAAAAAAGTGTTTTAGCAACTTTTGGAAAAGGGAATTAAATGAATATTTTGAATTGTGTTATTTTTGTCACTCAGTAATACTGAATGAGATAAATCCACTGGACTACAGGACTGTAACTCTGGACTCTCCCTGTGACTGACAAAAACACAGAGCATTCAAATGAACTGTTTGATTTTATTGAACTTCATTTGCGTTTTATTTTAGGCAACTGCTTCTTTGGAAAATAAACTAGTCGGCAACACAAACCAATTCAGACGGGGGGCACAGATAAACATGGCTCATCTACACATATTGGTCAGGAAAAGCCCAAAAAAAGAACTGGAAACAGACAGACTGTCACATCTAGAAACTTTGTTGGTCTTCTTAAGTGCTCTGGGGGAAACTTTGTGTTTTCTAGTGCTCAGGCGTTCACTGGGCGATGCCAATGACCCCACAGGCCAGACGCCCACCAGCGTTGCCCGTCTTTAGACTCTCTTCGTTGCCTCCTTTTCCCAAGTCGTCCACCGTCTCGTGGATCTGAGAACATACACGTACATTAGAGTCTTGACACCAAGTCTAATGCATTTTAAACACTGGACGTTGGACGTCACTTATTTGACATTAAAGTAAAACTGACAGAAACCTACCACCATGGTTCGACCAATGATGGAGTGTGGTCCAGCCAGAGTGATCAACTGGTCGGTGATGTCTATTTTAGCAACGTTGTCATCCCCGGCTGTCACGTTGCCCAAGTCGCCGACATGTCTGTTAGGATTAGGGAAGTAGAACGACTTAAAACCAAAGATCTATGCGGCTGAAGGATTAGGGAAGTAGAACGACTTAAAATGGAAGAGATCTATGCGGCTGCACAATTTTTCACAACTTTCTCATATGCTGCTCTTGTTGTCTTTGCCCAATCGACACTTCACTTTTTCTTCAAACTCTTATGAACTCTGTACCTTCTGTCACTTGTACTTGTTCCGGGACCAGGGAATCTAATTTTCGTTCATCCCATGTCTAACACGTGTTGTAATGACAATAAAGAACCACGAGTCCTTGAATCTTGCTTTTTGGACTCCTCTGACATACTCAGAATATCACTGCGAGTGCAAGTGATGTTGGACATTCAAAATAAAATGAACATCCAACATCTTTCTTTGTAATTTTGGACCCCAATAATAAAAACAATCGGCCAAACAAGATCTTTTAGATCAGAAAATGAAGGTTGTGATTGGCTGAAGATTACCTTACAAACCTGACAATATGATGTAGTCCAGTGACAACATACTATACGTCCAACACACACCCACACTCACCTAATTTCATCATCAGGCCCACCATGAGTCTTGTTGAAGGGATTGAAGTGAGGCCCTGCACTGATGCATCCTGGGAAAGAGAAACTACCCATTTAACAATTTCCAGAGAAAATACAACTTTGTGACCAAATACGAAAATTAGCATCCATCCTCACCATTGGTGTTGTCTCCAAACGCGTGGACATGGAAACCGTGCAGACCAGGAGTAAGTCCTGAGATTTCTCCAGACACTTTGACAGGAGCTGAGTCACTCTGTGAGGATGGGACGTGAGTGAGGGGAACGAACCACAGCAGAGCTGTCAACACCAGGTGTCTGAGAGGACTTTGAGTTGTCTCTCTAAATTATTTTTGGATTAATTCAAAAGATAATTTCTAAAATATTCCTCCAAAATATTTTTAAATAATGATAATATATATATATATATTGTATTTTTCTTGCATATATGTGTCAACGAAATATCAAAAAATACATTTAACATATATATATATATTGTATTTTTCTTGCACATATGTGTCAACGAAATATCACCTCTCAAAAACCTGGTGACCAATTGTTGTAATATTAATAATAATAATAATAATAATATGTACAACGCATTCTTATCAGAGACAACTTCACTCTTTGCCTCTGGGTAAAACGTTATGCAAACCATTTTTTGCTGAGTCACGGTGTACTCAGCAAACACTGCTTAACGTGAACCAACGTTTATTTTATTTTATTTTTTTCGTTTAACTCTGCTGATGTATTCAGTTTGCAAAATACATCTACAAAAATGCCAAGATTTTCGTCAGTTTGATGACGTTAGTGTCGTAAACTGACAACTGCATGAAGGATTTCAAACACGCAACAGGCATCAGAAAGGCCGACGTAGATCATTAACACTAAGAACATTAACGTACAAAGGTTATGACTCTCACGTTACACAGAGTGAAGCGTTCTTACTACGCAGTTACGACGCATTCACGGACAGCGATTGGTCGCAAACGAACTCTCGTCACATAATTTGCTAATATCGCTTCGTTTCAATTAGTGGTTTGGATTCGACTGTTTAGTTTAAATTTTGTAGCCTCACTCTACGCACATTATAGCACGTCTGGGCTACATGTTCGATGTGAACCAAGTTTGACGCATCTTTATTTTTTTAGGAACTGTCTAACTTTAGCTAGTCACGTGAACTAGTCTAACTACACCCATCACACTGTGGTTTGTCAATGAACCATAACGTAGCTTAGCTTAGCATCAGGGCGCTAACGCTAGGGCTGCAAGGAGAATGCACTTCTCTTTGGTAGTGGATTTCAACATTAATGTCCGCTTAAAGGTGTGGTATTTTTTAAAAATGTCGTTGCATGCCTTACCTCCTGCTCAAAATAAACAGTTCCGCTGGTGTCTCCAGCTCCTCTCAGCACGCATACGGCTTTAAGCACCATGTTCGCAGCACTTTCCAAACGCTGAAGTGTGACGGAGGGAAGTAGCGCCGAAGAAACGAGCTTTTATTATGTAACTAGCTGTGGGTTGAACCATGGCAGAAACAGCCAATCCGGGACGAAGGTGGTGGAAGAGGTAACTTCTGATTGGCCAGAATAGGTACGACTTAATTAACATACCCATTAAATAAAATGATAAATATTCTTATATATATCACAATACAATTCAATATAATATAATATTGTAAGATCAGCTGTTCAATATAATATAATATTGTAAGATCAACTGCTCCCAGGGGGTTAATAGCTGAGCTCCCAGGGGGTTAATAGCAGATTTTTTTTTAAATAATTTTTTTTTTAAATGTTATGTCCCTCCTGTCTGGCTTGTACACCCATTGAAATTTATAAACACAATCATGTGACTCTTATCCACCTTTGTACTGGCCTTATTTACATTTACACAAATGCTTTTATTATTTTATTTATTTATTTCTATACATGTGTAAGTGCTTTTTTTTCTGCATCTTTTCAAGGACAGAAATTAGTGTCTCCTCAATGAAGACTCTTGTAACGCTTCCCCTCTCAGTCCCTCTATCTCCACTTCCAACTCCGTGCCTGTCCAAACTCATCAGTCCCTCGAACTGCACATCCAGTTTTGATCTTCTAGTCCTTTTCCGCGCTGCGTACCACCCTCAGGTACTTCCTGACCACGCCCCTACCAAAATTCTTACCTCCAAAGAGTAAGTCACGTGGACCACCTGGATATAATTAGAACAAATCAAAGCATTTGATAAAAAAATAGTTTATTAAAACAATATCCTATGGTTGAAATATTGAAGACTTTATATCCATGTCTTTTGCATTTTTTAACAAATCATAGAAACATCTGTCAACTTTCAAGCCATCAGGAGTTAAAAATGTTAAAGCAAAGGGCCTCTTGTTATTCCTTCGAAGTCAATTTGTTGTTTTTTTTAACTCTTCAGCACAACAGATCACAAATTATAAACAACATTCACCGTGACACGTACATGGTGTCAGTGTAACACAAGCATATTTACAGCAGTGTCTGTCCAGAAAAACCTCTTCTCATTTTCTCTCTGTGGTTTGGCCCATCATCAATGAGGAGAAGATTATCAGTCAGACTGGTATGGACACAGTATGGACATGAGATGTTAAAAACTATAAACCAAAATCAGACACAGTTTGTCCTCAGGGACACAGACACTGACTGTGAAGGTTGTGTTTATCAAGAAAACAAAAACAAAAAGAGCTGCAGCTTTTTAATTTCTGAATTTCTATTATGCTTAAAATCTACCTGCTTCACGGAAATACACTCAAGATTACTGCAACTAACGAAAGTGTGTGCACGTGTGTGTGTGTGTGGCAATACGAAAGTGTGTGCACGTGTGTGTGTGTCAAAAACACCAAGCCAGCAATTGAACCATGCACGTTTGTGAAAGACACCAAACCGGTGATAGACTGGCTTTGGTTTGTTCTACAGAAAATAGATTCTTTTTTTTATATAACATAAAAATACACACAACACAGAGAGCTTAAGATGAAAAGGTAATAAGTGTAGTGGTGAGTTTTATAAGGCTAAAAAACTGATAAGAAAATGAAAATTTAAAGAAAATCAGGAGGGTATAACTCCCGTGCATCCCCATCTCCATCTAACGTTCATAAATTTGGTATTTACCGCAATTTTCTGGCTCACCAGGGGGAGCAAAGGTCCAACTCAAATGTGGCTCTAGTTGATCGTACGACCATGATCAAATATCCACACCATCGTTGACAAGAAAATAGATTCTAGGAGACTGTATCTAGAGAAAACATATCCTGTCATAAGGCGATTATCACTTTGAACAGGGACACAAACCAGTGACTTTCTCAATGTAGGGCACTGGTGCTACCCACTTTCCCACCGTCCACCCCACAGATGTATGTTTTTTGTTTAATTTGGAATAAAAAAAAAATCCATAACAATACTCCTAGGCCGATTGATCATCACATACCTCCGTTCCTAAAGTTGAGATAACTTCCACTTCCGACGTCATTTACCCACGACATGCCGTGCCGTTCAATAACCACACAATATGATTGGACATTTTTATAAAAGTGACAGTGGGACGATCGCAGTAGCCAGAGAGATGTCACATTTAAATGACGTTAAAACTGACGTGTTAGATTTTAGGGTGTCATTCCTAGAGTATTTTTTCTTCATAATTCAATGTGTGAGCACACTCAGCTTTCATGTCGTGGTCTTGGCAATGACACAAAAATCTTCAGAAATTAAAAACATTACAATTATTAGAGAACCTAAAACATTGGAGAAAAAAAAATCTGTGTTCAGTCACCTACTGGGTTAATGTTGTCGATGTAACCTTGACACTGATGTTTGATGTCACTGAAGCCGTCGGTATGAAACCACAATGAATGTCCAGCAGCTGCAGAAGGATAATCCGATGGCTGCTGATTTCTCAGGACGTCCTTATTGCCTCTTAACAACCCTGAGAGGACATGGCCGTGCCCGCTTAACTGGTTTGTTCTGTCGGGTCACATACTGCACCTGTGTGGCTTTTATTGGAATCCATTTCAATACCGGCTCCTGTTGGACCGTGGGAGAATGTAGTAGTAATAATTATAGTACCCAGTGAGCTCAATGACAACTCTCACTTGTAACTAATTAGAAAAACAATAGTGGGGAAAAAAAAACAACAACCAAAAGCTCATTTTATAACACAGCGGTTCTAGATGATCAATGTCTGACCTGAGAGCCAGGCAAATAAAAAGGGATTAAAAAAATTGAAGTGAATGTGAAGTGGTGATAACGAGAGTCAAACACACTCACCCTGACCTCAGAAGGACAGAGCTCATTTCTTTCACTTTAACAGCTGATTAAAAGAAGAAAAAAAAAATAGAATCTGTCAAAGCCAGTGACTACAGTACTGATTCTCACGTGCTTTTGTGACCATAATCAGATCAACCCACAAACATCCTCTTTTGGTATGACTGACGACGTATGTGTGTGTGTGTGAGGCGTTCATCAGATGGTGAAACCTGACAAACGGGCAGGAGTTGAATTTTGGCCACACTAATTTTTCAGGGCTATACACACACGCACACACTCAAACAAACAAACAGCAGTGTCTGGCTGAAGGAGAAGTGTGACGCAGTCTATGACGCTGCTGCTTCCTGTGGGTTGTCCGTAGCTTCACCTTGAGCTGAGGGTGAGGGCTCAGAGGGCGCGGCCTCTTTCGCAGCAGGGACCTCAGGGTTCACAGCTATGAGTTCTGATTCTGCATTTTTTGCAGAAGATTCCACACCTACGTTGTCTTTACTGGTGTCAGTGGGAGCCAGAGGAGCTGCACACGGCTGCTCTGTGCTGTTAGAGGTCCGAAATCTTTCCATGTTCTCCAGTTCGGCTAATCGATCGTCCCTGTCCCAGCGTGTGGTCCTCTCTCGCCGCTCTGACCTCTTAGGCCTGTCCCCCTCTTTACCCTCAGCTCTTCCTCGTTCTCGACTCCCTCCATCTCCCCGTGCCCTGTCTGCTCCGTCTACGCGGCCGTGATCCCTCTCCCCATCATCGCCTCCCCTCCCTCGTTCCTTATCTCTATCAAGACTGCTCCTCCTGTCCCTCCAGTCCCGCCTGTCACGGTCTCTGTCTCTCTCTCTGTCCCGATCGCGGTCCCGATCTCTCTCCCTGTCTCTTTCCCATCCTGCTCCGCGGTGACTGCCTCCGTCCTCCTGCCAACCTCCGAGCCTCTCCCTCCCTTCCATTCTGTCAACTGCGCCTCCTCTTCCTACGTCACCGAACGGACGCCTCACAGCTCCAAGGCTTCTGTCTCTATCCCTGTCTCGATCCCTGTCTCTGTCCCGATCCCATTCCCGCTCTCTGTCCGGCTCTCGGTCTCTGAATGCGGGTCTATCGCCCCTGAACGGTCTGCTATCCAGTTCTTCTGGGGCGTCTAACACACGCGGAGCCCCTGGTCTGATAAAAGGAGGAGGACCATGATTTTGAGGAGGAGGTGGAGGAGGACCATGGCCATGTGGTGGAAAGGGTGCTCGCATGTTGTGGGGCGGTGGCATACCAAAGCCTCCTTTGGGTGGAGGAGGAGCCTCGTGGTGCATCATCGGAGGGTGTGGCCCCCTCTGCATCATCGATGGGGGCATGGGGGGCATGTTGGGGTGAGGAGGTCTGGTCGTCACGTGGGGAGGAGGGAAACGCTGCATGTGCTGAGCTGGGGAAACAGGAGGACGTTGGAGTGGGATTATACCTGGCCGTGCCCCAAGCAAACCAGCAGGGCTGGACTGGATGTTTCCTGGAGGAGCTCCTGGGGGCATGACTGGAAGACCACCAGGTGGTGCACTGGGGGGCACACCAACTGGGTTTCCTGGAGGGGAAAAACAGGACAGAGCCTTAATTTGAATGTATTTTACAAGCGAGTCACTGTTTGAACTAAATGCAACGAACGACGCCTGCGCTGTCCTAGGCCACAGACAAAGGGCGGTACAGTGAAAAGACAACAGACTGACCAATAGGAGCCATCTGATTGTTGAAGAGGTTGGGACGCTCCGGTCCTTCATCGTTCTTCCTGTTACCCATATTTGCTGGGTCCAGCGGATGTTCTTCAACCACACTTTTGGATGGAGGCGGAGGGCCCAGAGGCATGGTACCAGGAGGAAGGAAACCTAAAAAAACAAGTGGGAATAATGTTGGTAGGAGTCTGTTTAAAAAAAGAATCAAGAATATTGAATACAATAAGCTAATAAGAGATAGTTGGTAAAAAGTTACTAGAAAAGCTATGGCTTTAATACCAAGCCATATTGGCTGTGATAGAAAAGCCACAGCTGTGCAGTTGACGTCGTAGTAGCTTTATTGTTTATATTATTTATTACCTGGAGGCATCTGCATGGGGTTGAAGCCAGGTCGGAGGAAAGGAGGAGGCGGGACACCCGGGGGGAAGGAAGGCAGAGGCATGCCTATGGAAGCAGGGAAGATGGGAGGCTGGAGAGAACCGACACCCGGCTGCTGCTGCTGCTGCTGCATAGGACGGACCTGAAGACACGTACAGGGGACATAAAGATGAGTACATGACATTTGTTCATTTATCTCTTGGGCTTCAGTATTGGAGTGGACCAGAACAGGAAATTAGATGTTTGAGATCCTCCACATTAGACGTTGTTTTTCCATAATATTTTACATTGTTCACCTGTGCAGGCAGAGCAGCAGCAGCAGCCGGGGTCATCGGCAACGTCTGCATTTCGTCAGGTTGCTGTGACTCTGAACGGCCGTTGTGGTTGAGCTCCTCCGGAGGTTCCAGAGCGCTCCTCGCCACGCTCCACTCTGTGAAGCAATGGTTAAAAAAGCACACATTTATTGTAGTCTCTAATATAACGTTTTTCCACAGGATCTTCTTCTTCACGTTAAAAAATGTGTCATGTTTTTACCTGGTGAAAATGTCTCCACATCCAACATTCCTCCTTCTTTGAGCTCCTCCAACTGTTCCTCTGTGATTTTTGACCAGGGTATGTAGGTGACGCCCAGCTCAACGTCCCAGAACGATTTGAACTCCGGCTTTATGCCCTTGTTTAAAGCCCAGGCAATCTGACAGAAGAAAATACCAATGAGGAGATGGAACCTGACGTGAAAAAAAATGACTGTATCTTTGAGCTGTAGCAACCTGTGAAGCTCACACACCTTGATGGCTTTTTGATTAACTTTGTACGACCCCCGGCTGAGCTTCTGCAGGGCCCTGAAGGCATCTTGTCTATGTATCATGACAATGTAGGCGCAGCCACGTGGAGGGATCATCTGGAAAAGGGGGAAAAAAATTGTTAAAAAAAAAACGTCTTGTCTTACAACAAAATAGGGTTAAAACAGTAAACACATCACTGAGACAAAAAAACCTAAATGCTTCCTCCAGCTGCTGAAGAAGCAGAATACTTTATTGTTGCCCATATCTCTCTCTCTCCTCTCAAATGACCGTGTGAAAAAGTCTTACATTGATGGACTCTATCTGTCCAAACTCCTCCAGTAAACAGGCCACGTCCTGCTGTTGTGTTCTTTTGTCGAGCTGGCCGACCCACAGAGTCGTACTGCAGACTGAAGAGGAAAAAAAAATACAGTGTGAAACATAACACAAAAATAATAATAATAATAACCTGCCTAAAAACATTTGTAACACATCTATCCTGACTGTGTATCTACTGATGTCAGTGATGTGATTAAGTGATGGACTCACCACTCAGGGTCTCGTTCTTAGGAGGCGGCAGGCCCTTCTGCCGTCGCTCTCTCTCTTTCTCCCTCTCTCTACGCTCCTGGGAGCGGGAGCGCGGAGAGTGGTGACGTGACGGTGAACGTCGGTGCCTTGAGCGACGTGAGCGGGAATTCGACCGCGACCTTTTACGCTTTGGAGACCTGAACAAGAAGATAAGGGAAGAAACACAAACAACTCGTGGTTGTAGATAAATACTGAGAGGCTGATCGTGAACATGGAGAAAATAAAAATAAAAAGTTACACATACCTTGAACCTGAGCGTGACCGTGGAGCTTGTCTTCCATCCCTGGCAGATGAACGGTCTATATCCATCAACAAATCCTGATATTGTGGAAGACACAACTCATGAGACAATAATTCATTAGGGCCAGTGTTCTTACCGCTCGGCTGATCTGAGATCGATCTGTGACAAACCCCTGCTGTACGACAGCGGTTTCTCAAAGAATTATTCACAACCTTTTCTTTTCTCTGTTCAGAGGACAGGAGTTATGTTTAAGTCTTAGGTTCACCTGCTGTTGCTGGGCTGCACCGTGAGGTGGATATAACCCTGGGAAACCAGAAGGCCCAGTGGGACCTGGGATAGGCTGCCCTGGCTGGGTATGGCCAACAGGGGGCACCATGGCAGGAAAGCCCTGTCCTGGTGCTAATCCATAGGCTTGCGGTTGACCATTGGGAGGAAGGTGAACCTGGGGGGAATAAAAGGCAGCTAAGTTGAGTGTCATGCAGAAATAGTATTAAACCTTTCAGTAAAAAAAAAGTGTCAGTTTTTAGATGATGCCCCACAGCTCAAAATGAAATAGAAAAAAATCTTTCTTTTTGTTGTTACCTGTTGTGCAAGGTCATGTGACATGTTGACCCCTGGTGGTTTAAAGTGCTCCATGTGCTGTGGGAAACCCATAGGCTGTGGAGTACTAGGATGAGGGGAAGAGAAGTGTGTTATTGTAGTTCATTTCAAATAAAAGAAGGAGGGAAGATCATCAAGACGTTTCTACATTTCTTTCCGACATTAAAAGAAGTGAGATCTTACAAAGTGGACTGAGCTACAGTGTCATCCTTCTTCGTTTCCTCTCCCTCTGGTTCGTCGTCATAATCAAAACGGTCCAGCAGGGTCTGACAGAGAGACTTGACAGATTATTTTTATTTATGTAACATTTGTGTTTATGCTGTTTTTTTAACATGGTGCTCACGTTACAACTAAAATGTTAGCAGCATCAGACTCCAGTGTGTCCGTATGTGCACAGCTGTAGAGCAGAGTCTCTGGGTTGATGGCAAATCAATCAAATTGACTGACAGTGGTTGCACAACAACTACCAAATTGCTACACACATGTTGACATGGGTCCAATCCATGTTTATGGAAATAAATATGGATGGGACGCACTTATTCGTGTGACACTGTCTGAAGGAGGTTGCATTTAAACTACATCGTGAAGAAAAACTGTTTATGGAAATAAATATGGATGGGACACACTTGCATTTAAACTACATGGTGAACAAAAATAAAATAAAATCATATTTCAGATGAAGGCAGGTTCAGTTACCCTGTCAAACGCTGTTTTCTGCTCAGTGGTCTGTGAAGACAGAGGCGGTTGTGAAGTGTTGATGCCCAGACCAGGAGTGATGTTTTGGGCCTGCATTTGGCTCATGTGAAGAGATGGAGGCGGCTGGGCGTTGATGTCGGGCTTCAGCGGCTGCTGCTGAAAGTTCTGCAGCATCTGCTGGAGCTGTGAACAAGTGGTACAAGTGGTCGAGTTAAAGTATCGGACGGCACATGTTGACTGTGCCCAGCTCAATCAGTTTAAACTCACCTGCTGACTCTGCGATGACTGTAAGAACTGAGCCATAGCAGCAAACGGATCAGAGTTCTGGATGGGAGCTGGGGGCGTCATGGAGGAGTTCGCAGTGACAGCGTCTTTGTCTGGAGGCGGAGAAGAACCTGGCAGAATGAAGGAGGAGGATAAACACATTTAGCCTCTCCATTTCCATACATTTCTTGTAAGATTTCTTTGTAAAAGACTATCACAAAAACTAACTCTGATTACCTGGCTCCTCTGTTCCTGAATCAGTTGGAAACGCACTGCCCGACCCGGCTGCCATGTCCAGGAGAGGCTGAATGACCTCGATCTTAAAGACACCATTCTTCTGCCACAGGTTCAACACCCGCACAATCTTACTCTGAGGAAGACAAATACAAAAACGTGAGCGAGCGACACCAAGAAAAAGTGCAGAACATTTCCAAACGTCTTCCTTCTCATCTCACCCTGTCCTCTACGGGGCAGTGGCAGAGGTTCTCAAAAGTCCCCGTAATGTTTTTGGTGAATCTTGGTCCAAACACGTCCTTATCTGCTCCAAACTGGTGTCTGGATTGTCTGACGATGGAGTCCACCACGTAAAGACCTGCTACTTTATACTCAGGCTTACACTGTGGGGAAAAAACAGTTTTGTTTTTTGGTGTTTTTTGGCCACGGGTTGAGGAGAAACAGAGTTGTGTTTGCATGAGGACTTGATCATCTCACCTTCTTGATGAACTTTTCCACTATCTGGACCACGTGTTTATAAAGCTGAGGAGCAGAAAAGCAAGGACGATGAGCTCCAAACACAACAGTTGTTAGGATCAGATCAAACTTGTTATCAAAACTATTCTTACTTTCATGGCTTTGATGGCTGATTTGGTGATAGATATCATCTTCGCCCGTGAGATTGGGGGCTTGGACTCCATCAGGGAGAACAACTAGGACGGCAGATAACAGAGGAGTGTGACACAAGGATGGCAGGAAAGGAAGCTACTAAAAGGTTGGAATACTGAAATGATTAATTTAATTACAAGATCTATACCGATATAAAAGTTGCCGTTTGAACACGTTTCACAGGACACAGTTGACTGAGAGATATATTAACGAGATCTGTAATGAGCTAAAAGTGAGACAATCAATAATGATGCAGACTACGTTCTGATGTAGAAGTGAAACAGAAAGTGTCAATATTACTGGGATAAATTTCCTTAAGTACTCAGATTTGTATGTATTAAATGTTGGGGGGGGGGTCATCAGTCTTTTTTTTCTCTCAATTTGTCTATCTTTCACTACTGTACAAAACAGTTGTGAGTGGTAGTATTTACCACTGGAAAAGAGATCCAGTAGGTGGCAGCAAATCACGCTGCAGAGCTGCTGTTCTAACCCAGTTAGCTAAAGGTAAAGTGATGAAGAAACAGTGTTGGCCAAGTTCCAGACTTTGAAGAAATCCACCTAAAACCGAACTCTTTACACATGTCTCCATGTTTCTCTGGGTTCTGTGGCAGCTGACATCCGGTGTTGTATCACTACCATTTTTTTGTCTTGTCATCTTCATCACCTCAGTTGCAGCATCAAACTTTACGAATATAATTTATTTTTCTGTTTCAGCTGTTCATCCACATTCCACACTGGAAGAACAACTTACAGTCCGGTGGCCTGGTTGATTAGTCATTCATCATTTTATTTTAAGTCACTCGCGGCCCCACCTTCACTGCAGGTGCTTTTCATTCTGTTTTTCACTCTACTAATACAATTTGCATTAGTAGTAACAGGATACAAGAAGCATTACTGTCACAAGAGTAGTAACAGGATACAAGAAGTATTACGGTCACAAAAAAAAACATATGGAGGGGACTTTAGAAAGAATGTTCTTTTATTTATTAGTTTTTTTGTTTTGTTTTTTTTACTACATTACAGTCTAATTTGGGGGCATGATGTCAGGGATTTTGAGAATAGACATATTGACAAGGGAACCACTGGTTCCAGAAAGTTTTAGCAACATGAAACTAAATTGTCGCCGTGGTCCCTGAATAGAAAAATGTCCCAGCGCTGGACCAACCACACGTTTGTTTTTGAATGTTGATGTTGCGTCCAAGGGTCGCAGGGGCAGAAACATGAGGAATCAAAAATACCAGACTTGACCTGAGTGGCCTTCCAATGCTAACGCCAGGGGCTACCATGTCTGGTGGACACAAATAATTTAAATTTCCCTGAGGAAGAAATGCACAACACTGTTTACAGGCTGGTAAACACAGTGGTAGCAATAACACCAACGTTGGTAACCGCTCTACCGACGGCTAACGTGTATGTGTAACACCAACGTTGGTAACCGCTCTACCAACAGCTAACGTGTATGTGAGTAAGGAGGCTAGCACTGAGTGCTACCGCTTTTGCAACCCCTTGTGTTTGCAAGAAGCACGTGAACTTATTCAATTAAATATGTACTCGAGGTAACATCATGCAACCCTAGACTTCAAACCGTTAGCAAAACATCGGATAGGACTATTATGTCCGGATAACTGTCTGAGTAGGCCTTCGGGTCAGTTAGCTCCAGTCTAACTAGCGCCGCCAGCCTCGGTGCCTTCCCGGTCTCAGGGAGCCGTAAACGCGGCTTACCTCCTGGTTAAAGGCGTTGACGGCTTCCATGGTCGCACGACGTTGTTATGCGTTCCCTCCGCTCCCGTTTCCCCGTTAGCAGTACTGTTTATCCAAGGAAGGGGTGCTCCAACATGTCCGCTCCCGGTGGCTACAGACAGTTAGCTTAGCATTGGTGGTTCTCGGATCGGCGGGTACAGCAAAGCATGATGGGAATGTACTGCTGTTGTTTCAAACTTTGGCCACTGGATGGCAGTGATGGCGTACAATAAGTACAATAACGCATTGAATAGAATAGAATAGAATAGAATAGAATAGAATAGAATAGAATAGAATAGAATAGAATGGAATAGAATGGAATATATAGTATTTATTGATAAATAGAATAGAATAGAATAGAATATATAGTATTTATTGATAATAAATGTATTTGATAAAGGTTTACACAGACATTTTTTCTAACAAAAGTTCAGGCTCTGTTTTACGAATGAAATAAATGTAAAATCCTATTATTATTATTATTATGTGATTTAATGAATGTAAAATCCTATTATTATTATTATTTGATTTAATATACCTAAACACTACATTTTAGCAGATTTCCCTTTTAATAAGAAATATAATAATTTGTGGTTCTTGCGAATAGAGAATCTACTATGACTTTTCATTATCATCAGCCTGTATGCTGATAATAATGAAACAACAAACAAAGACAAAGTATAATCCAGAAAAAACAACACCTGTGACATGAATCAAGGGCACCTTTGTTTTGACAGGGTGTCCACCAGACAATAGCATTCCACTGCTCTAAAAATGCACACCTTGAAGTGACCCAAATAATTAAATTTGGTCATAAAAAATGATGTCCCATCAGTATGCATCTGGACCTGCCAACCATAGTGAAGGTTATCACATCCTTGGTCCTCCCTGTTCTGGTCTGAGCCTCAGACAAATGAATAACTTAGCACTAGGTGGAATTATTTTTAATTTATTTTATTTGGGTAACCAGAATAAGACGGAAAAAAAATGTCTGGGTGGAAGTTGAACTGAATGAAGCAAAGATGAAATGTTTGGACATGAGTTTTAAAAAGGGGAGATGGTGGATATAAAGTAATGGCTGCATCCAAGAGTAGTTCTCCAGGGCTTAGGACATGTGGTGATAATTAAAAATGATATATTAACTTAGGTTCATTGATTTATTTTTTTATATATTTTTAAAATGTTAAAAACGCTGTTAAAATCACAGTTCTGAAGTTGAGTAGAACAAAGGGAACAAAGGAAACCAAAGGCACCAGCTGAAGTTCACAAAGACTACATCATGTCTAGACCTGGGAGACTGACTGTTCACTAATGGGCCTACAACCTTAAAAACTGTTGCCCATTCTGAAACTGTAGGATTGCACCGCTGCAATTCCAAATATCGCCGGTAGATGGTGGTGTACACGCACGTTTGTGGTCATGCCTGACTGCCTGGCTTCCAGTGTCTAGAAAGCAATCTGTTGTGTATGTTAGTGAAGCTATTCTCCCACCTATCTCAGGATCGATGCAAGGAAAGTACCACCACTACACTCTTATGAATAATTAAACGTACCAGTACGGACTAAACAGCACAACAACAGCCTCTCCCTTTGTCCTTTAAGGCTTTTTTACATGTTAATAACATGGCCAGGTAAAAAAAAAAGGCATCGTGTCTCCCAACTGTTGCCCCTCCCTGCAGGTGCCCTCCTTTGACTGATGAGCTCGGTGTTAATTGGGGCAGTGAACACCTCCAGCCAGGAGGAGGACGCGCTCCTTTGTGTAGGGCTGGAGCTCCACTTGCTGGCTGAGCGCCAAGTTCGGGGCAACAAATCAATGTGCAAGCCTCCACATGGGGCAATAGCGGCACTCAGATGAAGGTCCATTTCGCTATGAATGATTCATGAGCATCTGTTGCCAAACACGAGCCATAAAGTTTTTTTTGTTTTTGTTTTTTTAAATGAGGAATCGTGGCGATTTTTTCGGTGATTCTGGACATTTGGATCATGTTCTGTCTCCACGAAGACGGGACGTCACGTGATCTCTCACTGCGTTATATTAAATACACAAACACGCGCATACAAGGTGATGCTGTTGTTGACTGTCGAATCCTAATGTTACCAACGTCCTCTTTGTTCTTGGCCGTGGACAATCTGAACGCACGGTGCCAATCGTCAGGGGCAGTGGTTCCGGGCGGAGTCGTCGCCCCTTGTTCTCACATGTGCTCCGCCTCGCCTGCGCTGATTGGACTGAGAATCACCACCACCACAGTGTGTGTGTGTGTGTGTGTATGTTTTCCCTTCACACACACACTCAGAAACGCCCACCCACATGACCGGGAAAGTGGCTTCAAACTGAAAAAGCACGCCGTTTGAGCACAGACCGATCGAGACGCGCTGATGTTTGGAGAGCGGAGTGCGCAGCCAACAGCTACCTCTGACTGAGACACTGTTCCTCTTCTTTTTATATAAATATATATATACACATAAGTACCGATGACATCGAATACCTGGACTCAACCTCTCACGGTCGGAGCTGACATTTTTGTATGATATTTCAGCCCAGAGCTGCAGCTGGACTTGGGAGTCGTGCGCTCCACAATCTTTTTGGATAAACACTCGTCTCCGTTAGTTATTAGAGAGGAGAGAGAGAGAGAGAGAGAGACAGGGGGGTATCAAACACCCGCTGGGTCACAGTCGGGCTGTCACCTATCCATCCACAGGAGCTGTGATGCCGGTGGCGGACAGCGACATGGTCGTGGACGCTTCGAGCCAGGCAGCCAGTGGCCAGGATGAGAACATCCTCCCGGTGTCCCTCAGCAGCCCCGCTGCGGACATCCTCAAGAACTTTTACCACACCAAGCGGGTCGGGAACTACCTGATCGGCAGGAAACTGGGGGAAGGGTCGTTCGCCAAAGTTAGAGAAGGTCTCCATGCGATGACCGGTGAGAAGGTAAGAACCGTGCGCTGCAAAAAAAAAGGGGCAGGTTTTTGGGGGGGGACGCAGGGAGGAGAGGGGCTTGTCATGTTGTTGTTTTTTCCGTTTTTGGGGGGGGGGACGCAGGTAGGAGAGGGGGTTGTCATGTTGTTGTTTTTTTCACGTACAGTGCAGTGTTTGAGAAAGGAGTGTTTTGGGTTTTTTTTAAAGTAAACATGACTTGACATTTGAGAACAATGACTGACATCCAGGCGGTGATTTGATGCTCAACTTCATTCCACCGCAGCGTCGGTTATCACTTGGCCCAGGTCACTGATCTGACAGTGCCATCTTTTTTTTTTTTTTTTTTTTTTTTTTTTTTTACAGCGTGTCAACTCTTGCTCACATTCACTCCTCGCGTGTTCGTTCTGTGCCAGTGAATACAGCGTGACAAACAAACAGTCCCTATCGATCCATCAGTTCCCAGGAGCCTCACAGTAATCAGCATCATCTGGAACTGAAAACCACCTCCGTCTCATTCACCCCGTGATAATATTGACTGGTTGGTGTCGAGGACGGAGGGACGGGACGGAGGGACGAACCACATGGTGATCCGCCGTGTCGTCTCCGCTCAGCCTCGGCTTTGTTTGCCTCTGCTGGCGGTGATGATATCACTGCTGCGATGTGCATGAGCGCGCAAGCCTGTGATAGGCGCAGAGAGACGGAGCGGCGGCGGCCAATCAGGAGGCAGGGCTGCTACTTGCATATGAAATCCTGTCGTTGATAAATGGGCTCTCAGCCTCATTATGATTCCAGGCAGAAACACGTTGGGCTTTGATATGGGCAACCAGTGGCCAGTGGTCGCCTTTGTCTCCTCCAGCCTCTTCCTGGAGGGTGAGGGTGGGGGTGAGGGGGTGCAGCCAGGGGGGGCATTTGCATACTGGGAAAACAAGTGGTCCCCATTTTATTGATTTATTTTTACATCCAGGTGTCCACCTGTGAAGGCAGCAGTGAATTAGCACCAATAAAAAGATTTAGCCCATAACACTGAGATCAAATCAGCTCGTCCTCCCCCCCTCCCACTCTCCCTCCTGTACACTTGCTGTGAGGAGGAGAGGAGGGAGAGAGAAAAAAAAATAGAGGCAGCGCTGCTCACCTCATCGTCCCTTCCTTCCCTTCTTTCTTTCTTTCTTGCTTCACTAGGCTCTTTGTTGAGGATGATGCAAACGCTGGCAATCAGCGAGCACATCACATGTCTCTCTCCCTCTCTCTCTCTGTCTCTCTGTCTCTTTATTTACCCTCGTTCAGTGGAGCACGGGGGGGCAGGGAGTTTATTAAAGCTCACAGGGGCCTCATCTATCAGCATCACCACAGAGTCATTGTGTGTGTGTGTGTGTGTTTAAGGGTGTGGGGAGGTGAGTGGTGGCGCTGTGGAGTTCAGGGGTCTGTTCAGGTCACATGCATGTGTTTTCCATGTCTGTAACCCACTTTCCTCCCCTCCCTCCTCCCTCCTCCTCTCTCTCTCTGATAAACAACTGAATCCCCTAAGAGCCCTCTGGCTTGGTGGGTACACCCCTCCCCCTCAACCCTGCCCCCCCCCCCCCCCCCCCCCCCCCCCCCCCCCCCCTCCTCACAC